CTGAAATTTTGACAAACATCTTTTTGCTCTGGGATTTCAATGAAAATTGAATTACAGCTTTATCATAAATTATCAAAAAGCTACAATTTGGTTCTTAAAAGGATCTATTTCAAAACCTAAATGCCAACTAAATAAATCTCTTAAATCTACTTAAATAAATAAAAGTACATTAAAGGCTGCAAAGTATGCACACTTTAGAGATGTCGTAAACAAAAAATGATTTTGTGCATTTTTAAGACCTAAAATCTTTAGGAAAACCTTGATCGCAAGGTACAGTCCAAAATGTTGAAGAAAGCAATTATGATTATAAAAATCTTTGAAGAACACACAATCATATTGTTATTTGCATATTATTTTTTTGGTACCTTTAAAGATAGACGAGACAACTAGTAAATTGCTCATGTACAGAATAAGTCTTAATTATCTGGACAGTTCCAGTCTACCATGCCTGATTATACTTTTATTTGTATTACAAATGTACTTAATATTATCGCCTGAAATACTTTTGACTATAAAAATAAGAAGAAATTCTGATGAGGTATGATTGCCAATAAGACAACTCTCCATCAGAGATCAAATGCTGCAGTAGTTAGCAACTATAGGTCACTGCACAGCCCCCAACAATGAGCAAAACTCACACTACACAGCAAGCTACAAAAGTATCTTTGCCATGCTTGTGCTGTGCTTACTTTTATGTTTGCTTCTCTTTTTTTAGCTTCCTTGCATGATTATGCTTTTTATATTGTTGTATATGTTGTGTGTATGTATTTGTTTAAGAACTTATGTTTTTTAGTTAGTAACTATACAGCAACTCTTTTCACAAAAAATCTGACGATTAAAATCGATTGTATTTAAAGCTATACTGAAATGTGTATTGCTTACAACTATTTTTATTCTTAAGATTTTTTGTGAAAAGAGCCGCAGAATCTAAACACGGTAAAGCTTTTATATTGTATGAAGGCCAAGACATGACAATGTAAAACAATTGAAAAGAGAATATTAACGACTTCATGTATGTACAAAACAATAAACAAAAATCAAATATGATATACAGCATCAAACAACAACCACTGAACTTCAGCTCCCAACTTAGGGCAGGCACACAACTATATTGTTATAAATGAGTATATTAAAAATGAGTTTTTAAGATTTTTTTTCTTTCTATGTTTTCTTCAGATTTCCTATTCAAGGCAAGATAAAGACCAAGCAGATGAAAGTAAATGTGTACGTAATTTAAAAAACTGAGATATATATTATATCAGGTAGTTATGAATAGTATACATGTATATCAAATCCAGTGTTGATATTTAGTAAGGGAAGAAACATGTAATTAGGATATGTCATTTTTGCATGCTGCTGAAAACATTCAAGAAATATCATAGATCTTTTTCAAGTTTTCAGATATGTTACAAGTAACTAGATTTTTAGTTGGACCAAGTGCCTTGTAAAGTAGATTTACATTTGTCAGATTGTCAATTTTTAAATGGTGTACTATAAAACGTGTACTGGTAATTATGTGATTTTTGTATACTGCTGATCAAAAGAAATATTAGAATTAGCTCATTGATCGTGATCATTAACTAGATTTGCAATTGGAATGAGTGCCTTGAAGTAGGACAACATCATACATGTGAACCTCCCGACGGGAGTACAATAATCCAGTTTTCAGGGGTCTCCTCCCGTCCTCCCGTTGAAGAGAAAAAAATCCCATGTATAAAATATTTCATGAATGAAAATTTTCAGGAGCCATTTTTTTTTACTACGATGTTTACTAATGTTTGTTATTGAAGACGAAAAAACCTGAGAGTACCGAACATATCCGGTGTAACTGACATTACCTGTACACAACACGTGTAGATTTTGACCTGGAAAACGGTTAATTACATGTAACAAGTGATAATAGTTTGATTGCATAATAAACAGGTGTCAGCTCAGGTGATAGAATATTAATATGGCTTCTGTCTATGGCACACACAAAGGATGATTAAAGGGAAATACCGGCAATGACCAGCTGATGATAGAAAAGTGGAATATTGTTGTCAAAACATGAATACAAATCTATACACAAAGAAAAGGTCATAGCGCTATATTTACAAGCAGTCAACAATCAATTATCAAAAACAAAGCAAGAAACAGAATCTTCTCAATATTTCCTTCTGCAATGTGATATCATTCGAATAGAAAGGCTACTAAGGTACTATAAACACGTTACATTCGGATGGAAGGTTGAAGAAAAAACACTTTAAAAGACAATTTCTACATCATACGGTTACATTTACGACAAAATTTATGTCGATAAAAAACCTCCTGATCTGAGTCCTAATCTCCTGACCAAAATTTCCCAATCTCCTGATCTGAGTTTCACAGTCCATCACATGTATGCAACATTTTTCAACTTTGTATGTTAAAATTTTAAGGAGTTTTATATTTGCTTTTGAATAGTAACAGATCAATCCATTATCTAGCTAACTGACTTACATTTGTAGTAAGTTTCTTTAGTGGATGAATTAAGGTAAACTTTGAAAAAGAAAAAAAAAAAGAAATGCATTATGTCCATTTGTTTGTGAAAAAATAAACAATGCAATAACTAAATCTTGCAATTTAATTTTTGCTAGTAAAATTCTACCACAGTCAGTACACAATTTTTATTTTCAATTGTTATAAGTTAAAGATTTGCATCTTTAAATTTTCATGCCTAATGAGTGAAAATGACAAAGATTTTTTTCAAACTTAGAAACTTGGCATTATATATTTTAGGCGAGTAAAGTTGAAAATTATGATATATGAAATCCTCCTTTTGCTAGGTTAATCCAGGCAGCACTTGGTTGTTTTGTGGTACAGGATTTTTCTCTTCAGCAGGACACTACCAGAATATTTAGAGCAGCAAATAGAATTTCAAGATGTAAGTTATCAGAGTTCTTTGCCATACATACTGAATTTTAATGAGAAATCATGTTGATGATAGTTTAAGTTGTAGAACTCCTCCTTTATTTCAATAATTATACCCTACCCCCCAAAAAAATCACCATGTCCATCTGTTGTCTGTCTGTCTGTCTGTCAGTCGTCCGCTTCGTGTCCTGTGCATAACTTTTGTTCCGTAAAATTAATGTTAACCAAACTTGGTATGCAGTTGAATCATGGGCTAAGGGTGTGTCATATACCAAAGTCTGGTCACTATGACCATGGGCTTTGACCTTTGACCCCTATGGTAATAAAAATTGTCTAATTTGTGTCCAGTGCATAAATTTTGTACTGTAAAACTTAGGATGACCAAACTTAGTATGCAGTTGCATCATAGGATTGGGATCTGTTGCATACTAAAGTCAGGTCACTTTGACCTTGACCTTTGACCACTATGATAGTAAAACCTTATCCAATTCGTGTCCAGTTCATAACTTTTGTACTTAATAACTAAGGTTAACCAAACTTGGTATGCAGTTACATCATGGTCGTGGGGTGTGTCATTTACAAATATCAGGTCACTGACCTTTGAACCCTATGATGATTAAACCTTGTCTGATTTGTGTTCTGCTTATATCTTTTGTACCATAGAACTTAGGTTGACCTGAATAAACTTAGTATGCTGGTACATCATGGGATGGTGTGTGTCATATATTAAAGTCATGTCACTCTGATCTTGAATTTGACCTTCGACTCTTATGATAGTAAAACATTGTCTAATTTGTGTTTGGTGCAGATATGCTGTAGTACTTAGATTGACAAAGCTTTGTATGCAGAAGCATCATACTGACCTTGACTTTGACCTAGAACTTTAATTTATTAATTTAAAGTATACGAACCTCAGACTTTGTTCCTGGATCAGTATAATTCTTTTAGTTTGACCAGTAACCATTTTTCAATCTAACACAGAGACAATGAATATATAAAATGAAAAGCTGAAAACCAAGAATCTCAAAACATCATTGCCTCAATACTGAATTTCACAGTAGCAACTAAAATGTAAAATGTATGCATGTATGTACGGCAGGGCTTCCAAAATTATTTTTAGCAAGCCGGACATTTTATTTATTATCCCGATTTTAATCCCTTAAGACTAAATAAACAAAAGGCAACTATGGTAATCAGTTGCCGAGTTGGCCATCCCAATGATTGACATTAAAAAAAAGGATATTAAATTTTCTTTGATTCAAATTGAACTTCTGACGTAAACTGTTAAATTGGCAGTGCATCATTCGAAGTGTGCAACATCAGCGTACTTATATCTGCCTTAGACTCTTTATTTGTGCAAAATAACGTTGTCAAAAACTTTACTTTCGTTTTTATACCGGATGTTATCTTGACAATGGTAAAACATGGACCAGAGACGGATACGTAAATTCCGTGTACGTTTGCAAAGCGTGAATGAGTGGAAGTAGCTCTTTCTACGTTATTTCTTCTAGAAAATATTCGAAATAAACGTGAGGTAAAGGTATCAATGACAATTTAATCATTTTTTAAAGGCAGTGCTTTAATGCCTTTCTGGTTGCCGTGTTAATCTTTCTTTCCGCGATATCCAACTTATCTACGTGGGGGGTCATTAGGCTCCAAGTAGATCCGGAAAATGTTGATTCTCTCCTCTTCTTATTGTGATATAAAATGTTTTTTGCTTCATTTCATTTACATTGGGAAATAGAGAAACGATCATTGTGTTTTGTTAGTTTTAAAAACTTTTGATATATTTGTATTTTGCATTATAAGCAGTCAACCGATTGACAAACTAGAATTATTTGAATTCCATGTGGAAAGAGGTCGGGTTAATTTCGAGTGTTATCTGCAATCTAGATGTTTATAAATCATTTCAGTCGTTGATATAATAATTTAAGGTCGACTGAACATGAATTAAATTATACAATTTAAAGTGCATTTCTGTGTATGCACCTGAACCCGTCTAGCGTTAGTGTTATTTCGCAGTTATATAAAGTAGCAAATTATCGTTCCTGAATAGGTGGCGCCGTGGTAGCCGATCCTGTTCTTAATCTTCCGGTTTCATTTAAGAGGAGGACATGCATTTCCAAATGACGTAAAAAGAAGGAAAAGTTGGATCAACGCCATGGTCCATAAGCAGATTGGATGAGAACACGATGAAATCGTGGAGTCCATCTCAATCAGCTGTTGTTTGCAAGGCACATTTTACTGAAAAAGACTACGTGCAGGAAACTATTCATGGTAAAACTCTATTTTCTTTTTAAAATATATAGTTATATATGTAATCGCCATGCGAATAAACCAAAGTCTGTTTACAACCGCAATTATCGTTTTAGAATAAAAGGGGGTGGTTAATTCAAGACGTCATAATTTTTTGGATTACGTTTCAATGTGATCTGTTTGAGATTTTTTGGTGCTTGCTACAATTTTAATGATTTCTTACAAGAGGTATATCATACTGAGAATTATTTTAGCAGTAATTATGCTAATGTAGTAATGACAGGAATGCATAAGCTATGCCTCATAGACTTTCTTTGAAAAATATCAATGACAATGTTAACAGGAACAAAACAATGACATGCTCTCATCTATATTATAGTTATTTAGGTACAAACAATGTACGTTTGTTGCATAAGTCTCTCATTGTTTGTCCTTTGGATTTACATAACATACATTTTGATGTACATTGATTCAGGCTAACATAGTTTTATCCAGATTGTAATGAATAAATCTAGTTAATATTTTGCCAGGTAGTACAAAGTATGCATTGCTAATGGAAGTTCATTTAATTATCAAAAAACTGATGTTTTATAACCTTTTTCAGGGCGCAAACCCACCATACAGAGACTTAAGTCTACTGCTATTCCAAGCCTATTTTCCTGGACCAAGCAAGAGACTGAATCGTCCGCAAAAAGAAAAATCAGGGCAGTTTCCTGTGAAAACAAAAGAACTAAACTTGATGAATATTGTAGTAGAAATCTAGAGGAAAGTTTTGATTGTAAAGTTGGTTTTCCTGAAGAAGTCATTCATACTGCAGACAGGATTTATGACTGTCCACCACCAACTGCCGAGCTAATGTTGAGCTTCACAGATGGAATTACGCAAACACCATCAATGCCTATATTTTCAGCAGAGAAATTTGAAATGAAGACACGTGACACAGCCATGCATTTTTATACCGGTTTAGAGTTGTATACTAAATTTTTATTTGTTTTGACCACACTTGGTCCAGCAGCACATTGTTTGAGATACATATATTTTCAAATTGATAGGGTGTCATTTGAAAATCAGTTTTTTTATGACTTTGATGAAATTGAGGCATTATACAACCAACTTTGAACTGTCTAGATTCTAGATTGAAACTAGTGTTAAGAATATTGTGTAGACATGGATTGTTTTTATGTCTAAACAGTGGCATGAGGCTAACACTTGGCCATTTAGTGGTTTAGTCAGGTATTTTGCGCCATCCAACTTCAAATTAAAGTTTCCTACAACTTGGATTATTATTGACAGCACACAATATCCCGTGATAAAACCTAAAGCTCCTAGAGCTCAGGCAACCTTTTCATCAAATAAAACAGAAACCCTGAAAATTCTTGAATGTTCGACACCTGGTGGTTTAGTCAACTATGTCTCTATGTTTCATAGAGCGAATTATTGGACTTGGCAAAACATACAAAATTCTAATAAATCCTATGAATGGAACTGAAACAAAACTTTCATCTGAAATAACATTTAGTTGTTTTATGTTGTGTAATTTTAGAACTTGTATTGTGCCAAAGGATGCATAAATAAAAGTGACGCAATGAATTTTGTTCTGATATATATATATTTACAATTACATGCACATGTAAATTGTAATGCATATAAAAATAAGGAGATGTGGTATGATATTCAGTGAGTTTATCAAACTAAAGTGCATAAGAAATGGGTTTAAGCAGTTACAGGTGTTACTGTCACCGTACAATCTCCAACAATGAGAAAAACTCGTACCCTGTAAAAAATTTCAGAGATCTTACAACTAAGTTTTGTTGTCTCACCTTGACTTTGGTGAATTGTTTATATCTGTTGATGTAAATATAAAAAAGAAGATGTGGTATGATTGCCAATGAGACAACTCTCCACACATGCACAAGAGACCAAATGACACAGAAATTAACAGCTATAGGCCACAGTACGGCCTTCAACAATGAGCAAAGCCCATACCGCACAGTCAGCTATAAAAGGCCCCGAAATGACAATGTAAAACAATTCAAACTTGAAAACTAACGGCCTATTTTATGTAAAAAAATGAACAAATATAACAAATATGCAACACATAAACAAACGACAACCACTGAATTACACTTTTATAGGCTCCTGACTTGGGACAGGCACATACATGTACATACAGAATGTGGCGGGCTTAAACATGTTAGCGGGATCCCAACCCTCCCCCTAACCTGGGACAGTGGTGTAACAGTACAATATAAGAAAGAACTATAAAAATCAGTTGAAAGAGGCTAAACTCATCAGATGGATAAATACAAATACAAGTGGACGTGGTCGGGTAGTTGTACATCCAAACAACAAAAAGACACTAAGTACAAATCTGAGAGTACTCACAGTTACTGACAGCTAGTTCAAAGCCACTAACAACTGATAAAAAAATCTTGCATCTAAGACTAAATTATCAATCCGTAAGCTCCCTTTAGAATTTTATAAATTTTAGATTTTACATTTCTGAGTTATGGGGTTTTATTCATTAAAAAAGGGGGGATTTTCCAGTTTTGGACAACAACTCAAAAATGCTTTAAGCAGTTCACATGAAACTTTGGTGAATTATTTATAGCTATTGATGTAATCTCCCTATTGATTTTCATAAATTTCAAATATGACATTGAGAAGAAATTGAACTTTATTTGTTTATAGTCTGGCAACAGATTTATTAAGTATTGCACAACAGCAAGAAATCTTTAATTGAATATAAATTCAATTCATATAACCGATTTCAAGTTCATTGACTACATTTATTCAGAAACTATAATATGTCAAATATTTAATTACAATCCAAATTCAGACCTGTATCAAGCTTGAATATTGTGTCCATTTTTGCCCCAGCTGTTCAGGGTAGTACCTCTGCGGGTGTATCCAGCTGCGCTCAGCGAATCAGTTTATTTCTTAATTAAGAACTCCTTTTTATACGACCGCAAAAAAATTTTTGTGGTCGTATATTGGTATGGCGTCGGCGTCGTCCGAAGACACATTAGTTTTCGCACTCTAACTTTAGTTTAAGTGAATGGATCTCAATGAAATTTTAAAATAAGGTTCAATACCACAAAAGGAAAGTGGGGATTATGGTACCAACAGTTAAGGAATTAGGGGCCAAAAATAAGCATTTTTGTAACTTCCAGACATAACTTGTGTGTAAGTGTATGGATCTCTCTGACATTGTACCACAAGGTTCCATATCACAAAGGGAATGCTGGGATTGATTTTTGGGGGTAATTGCCTTCAAATTTTAGGAAAAAGGGGCAAAAAACAAGCATTTTTCTAGTTTCATGACAATAACTTGTGTGCAAGTCTATGGATCTCTCTGACATTGTATCACAAGGTTCCATATCACAAAGGGAATGCTGGGATTGAATTTGGGGGTAATTGCCTCCAAATTTTAGGAATTAGGGGCCAAAAAGGGGCAAAAAGCAAGCATTTTTCTAGTTTCATGGCAATAACTTGTGTGTAAGTTAATGGATCTTTATGAAATTGTACTACAAGGTTCCATATCACAAAGGGAAAGCTGGAATTGAGTTTGGGGGTAATTGCCCAAAAAGTTTAGGAATAAGGGGCCAAAAATAAGCATTTTTCTAGTTTCCAGACAATAACTTGTGTTCAAGTGTATGGATCTCTCTGAAATTGTACTGCAAGGTACCATACCACAAAGGGAATGCTGGGATTGATTTTGGGGGTAATTGCCTCCAAATTTTAGGAATTAGGGGCCAAAAAGGGACAAAAAACAAGCATTTTTCTAGTTTCATGACAATAACGTGTGTTAGTCTATGGATCTCTCTGACATTGTATCACATGGTTCCATATCACAAAGGGAATGCTGGGATTGATTTTAGGGGTAATTGCCTCCAAATTTTAGGAATAAGGGGCCAAAAAGGGGCAAAAAACAAGCATTTTTCTAGTTTCATGGCAATAACTTGTGTGTAAGTGTATGGATCTTTATGAAATTGTACTACAAGGTTCCATATCACAAAGGGAAAGCTGGGTTTGAGTTTGGGGGTAATTGCCCTAAACGTTTAGGAATATGGGACCAAAAAGGGGCCAAAAAACAAGCATTTTTCTAGTTTCCAGACAATAACATGTGTTCAAGTGTATGGATCTCTCTGAAATTGTACTGCAAGGTACCATACCACAAAGGGAAGGCTGGGATTGAGTTTTGGGGTGATGAATCATAAGGGGGTTCAAAAAATTTGGGGGGGGGGGGATTCTTTTTCCTTTTTTTTCTTTAAAAATTTTCCATTTTAAATTGGTTATTTCTGATTTATATATAAAAGCAAATAATAATGATATGGTTTGAATAGGTAAATTAAATTTTTTTAAGTATCTTAGACTACTTTCATTCTGTGTCAGAAACCTATGCTGTGTCAAATATTTAATTACAATCCAAATTCAGTGCTGAATCAAGCTTGAATGTTGTGTTCATACTTGCCCCAACTGTTCAGGGTTCGACCTCTGCGGTCGTATCAAGCTGCGCCCCAGCGGAGCATTTTATTTCATTCATAAATTACTTTATGCTTGGAAATATAATTTTGCTTGGAGTTGAAAGAGTTGACATGTTGCAATGTACATTTACTCTACATAGTTCTATGGTACCAAATCAAAAGTTTATATAAAGAAAGAAGTCAAAGGTTTCCCATCATAGTTTAGTTATTAACAGGTACATACATTCTTTTGTACCTGAGGTCGTTGAATATAAATCATTATATAAATAAGGAGATGTGTTATGATTGCCAATGAAAAAACTAAGGATTTTCTTATCCAAGGAATAGATTACCTTAGCCGTATTTGGCACAACTTTTTGGAATTTTGGGTCCTCAATGCTCTTCAACTTTGTACTTGTTTGGCTTTGTTACTATTTTGATCTGAACGTCACTGATGAGTCTTATGTAGACGAAACACACGTCTGGCGTATTAAATTATAATCCTGGTACCTTTGATAATTAATTTGACTATAAACATAGATAAAAAAGGTACAAACTGGACATAATGCACTAGTTCATAAACAAGTGAGAACAATCGCCTTCATATAGTGCTCAGAATATGACATTCATAAAACTTATTCAATATCATTAGAGAACTCTAAATCTTAAATACTGAAAGCCACCTCTGATAAGTACACTGTACTATGCAAGATAATGATATAACTGGACTTAAAATACACACAACCTGTAATTAACTGCCTTTACAGCGCTTTCGTGCTTTGATTTTAGATTTTACATTTCTGTGGGGTTTTATTCATTAAAAGAGGGGGGATTTTCCAGTTTTTGGACAACAACTCAAAAATTCTTTAAGCAGTTCGCATGAAACTTTGGTGAATTATTCATAGCTATTGATGTAATCTCCCTATTGATTTTCATAAATTTCAAATATGACATTGAGAAGAAATTGAACTTTATTTGTTTATAGTCTGGCAACAGATTTATTAAGTATTGCGCAACAGCACAGTGTATTGCACAACAGCAAGAAATCTTTAATTGAATATAAATTCAATTCATATAACCGATTTCAAGTTCTTTGACTACATTTATTCAGAAACTATAATATGTCAAATATTTAATTACAATCCAAATTAAGACCTGTATCAAGCTTGAATATTGTGTCCATTTTTGCCCCAACTGTTCAGGGTTGGACCACTGCGGGTGTATCCAGCTGCGCTCAGCGAATCGGTTTATTTCTTAATTAAGAACTCCTTTTTGTCGAGCCTGCAACTTTTGTCGCAGAAAGCTTCACATAGGGATAGTGATCCGGCGGCAGCGTTAGCTAACTTCTTAAAAGCTTTATATTTTAGAAGGTGGAAGGTCTGGATGCTTCATACTTTGTAAATGGATGCCTCATGTTACGAAGTTTTTTTCAGTCACATGTCCAATGTCCTTGACCTCATTTTCATGGTTCAGTGACTTCTTGAAAAAAAAGTTAAGATTTTTTTTAATGTTAAATTCTCTCTTATTATAAGTAATAGGATAACTATATTTGGTATGTGCGTACCTTGTGAGGTCCTCATGCCCGTCAGACAGTTTTCACTTGACCTCGACCTCATTTCATGGATCAGTGAACAAGGTTAAGTTTTGGTGGTCAAGTCCATATCTCAGATACTATAAGCAATAGGTCTAGTATATTCTGTGTATGGAAGGACTGTAAGGTGTACATGTCCAACTGGCAGGTGTCATCTGACCTTGACCTCATTTTCATGGTTCAGTGGTTATAGTTAATTTTTGTGTTTTGGTCTGTTTTTCTTATACTGTATGCAATAGGTCTACTATATTTGGTGTATGGAATGATTGTGAGGTGTACATGTCTAGCTGGTAGGTGTCATCTGACCTTGACCTCATTTTCATGGTTCAGTGGTCAAAGTTCAGTTTTTAGTTTTGGTCTTTTTTTCTAATACTATATTCAATAGTTCAACTATATTTGGTGTATGGAAATATTTTATGATCTATTTGTCAGTCACGCAGGTTTTTTTTTACCTTGACCTCATTTTCAAGGTTCATTGCTCAGTTTTAAGTTTTTTGTGTTTTGGTCTGTTTTTCTTAAACTATAAGCAATAGGTCAACTATATTTGTTGTATGGAAGAATTGTTAGCTGTACATGCCTGCCTAGCATGGTTCATCTGACCTTGACCTCATTTTCTTGGTTCATTGGTCAATGTTTAGTTTACTTGGTTAATGTTAAGTTTATGTGACAGTTGTAATAAAGCTTTATATTTAGGACTATCAACATAATATCAATGATAAGTAAAAAAGGCGAGACATTTCAGCGTGTGCACTCTTGTTTCATTCATAAATTACTTTATACTTGGAAATATAATTTTGCTTGGAGTTGTAGTTTCTAAAAAAAAGTATTGTCATTGAAAGAGTTGACATGTTGCAATGTACATTTATTCTACATAGTTCTATGGTACCAAATCAAAAGTTTATATAAAAGAAAGATGTCAAAGGTTTCCCATCAT